CCCTGGAGATATTCAAAACCCACCCGGACACGATCCTGTGCAACGTGCTCTAGGTGACCCTGCTTGAGCAGAGGAGTTGGACTAGCTGATCTCCAGAGGTCCCTTCCAACCTTGGCCATTCTGTCATTTAACCCACACTTCCTGTTTGGGTTACTATTTGTGCTTTTATTCCTCTTGAAACATTTGAGGAACACAAGCAATATATAAATGACCTTTGAGGATTTGCAAAATTTGCAAAGATGAGTAATCTACTCATTTGTGAAAGTCACAAATATCACAGTTTAATATTCAGGTTTGTTTTAAAGCTTTTTGCCTAACCTATTCAGATAAGGAAGTGACTAACAGAAGTGACTACAGTCAGGTAATATGTGGAATGTCACCACACACATTTGCTTTCTGATATTATTTCAGATGTAAGTACTCCTCCTCCACATATTCTATAATCCTTCTTTTCTCTAGATACCTCTTATGTGGGGGAAAACTTGGTAAAATTTTGCTTGAGAACTCCAAAACTTTACTGGATTAGAAAAGCAAAGCTTAGAATATGCCTTCTAGGTATTGCCCAGAGTAAGGTGCAAGATCATAAAATCTGCCAGCTTTTCAGCCTATTACTTTTCAGCCAGGCTCTTCCCTCTGGGACTAGTTCCTCTGATGCAACATTGCTGCATTCACACAGATCCCCTCAGGCCTTGGATGAAATAGAAAAGCAAGGTACCTCTTTGCAATATTTAGTGACTGCCACTCCTAAAGGATGTTCACTGCTGGCTTCTGCAGTGCCAACCACGGCTAGTACCTTCTTCAGAGGCAGCAGAGCTGTCTCTCCCATCAAGAGCACCCGCATGACTTTAGGAACTCCGCAGGTGATGGTCCCAGTTTTATCAAACATCACAGTCTTGATCTGCAAGAAATAAACCAGGGTTACTGCCAAGGCCCTGTGAGCATAGGTATTCTCATATGTTCTGCACACATAAATACAGGCCAGACCTCAACAATCAGCTGACTGTATCCACACCAAGAGAGAATAAACCTACAAAAGCTAGAGAATCCTGCACCTTGAATTGTCCATGTGGTAGCTCTCCTTCTGTTTTCTTATTCATTTCCCATACAGTGATTTCACTGAAGCTATAATATTTACCATCGTGTATCTATATCAGTATCTCAGACAACAGAATTGTTGCAGTGCATAATAATTGCTTGTACTGGCCTTTACTAACAGACACTTGTGTGTGTGTGCACACGTGTGTATTAATTCACATGTAGGTTTCACATAATGGTAGCTTAATCACTTTTACCATATGGTATACAATGCAGGTAAGGCCTTTACCAAAACAGAGCATTTCTACTCTAAACAATAAACAATAGCATTTAGAAAAGAGGATTCAAGACATTATTTGGAGATAAAGCAGCTCTAAAAAATTCCAGACATAACAATCAGTCTGAAACCGACCTCACACTATTCACCAAATTCAACAATCAAGTGTCATCCAGCTCAGTGGGTCCAGAGGAATCCAGCAATGAACCAAGAAAAACAGCCCCACATACACCAAAACCTGCAGTTAGACTCAACTGTAATCCAGAAATGTGAACCAAAAAGCTCTGCAAGCTGGGCATTATTCCCATACTGCCTAACCCACCAACCTTGCAGAATCCAACCGGTCATTTAATTCCCCAAATCCTGACTCTAGCCCTACTTAGAACCAGAGGTAAAAAAAAGTAACACTTACTAGCAGCCTTTTTCTGCTTTTTGCAAAGCCTTGTAAAGACTTCTGGCGTATACTTTATAATGTCCCATAAGAAGAAGTATTATAATTAGTCTGAATAACTTATTCCCATTCTTAACTATCCTTTTCAGGTAAAAAGTTCTCCCTGTGTCTAACCCCGGTTTCCCGTAGCATGGTTTAAACTCATTTCTTCTTTTTATTGGCTGTGGACATGTTAAACCATGCATTCTCTTCCTCTTTTCATCAATTTCTTCTGCCTTTGAAGGGATTTTTCATCTCTCTTCTCCATCTTTTTTTCTCCGAACAACCTCAGATCATTCCATTTTCCTCCTGCATCCTATATTTTAAACCACTGATCACAAACAATATATATTTCACCTCAGCCCTTTGAGGAAGGAGGGAACACACGGGGTTATCACTGTCTTCCACAGAAGAGGTAAAGTGAGGGCAGAAGCCAGACTTCTCTCAAGGCCATGTGGAACAGCAGCAGCCTAGCTGACATCAGATTTCAGGAACTGCTGCCTTTCCATGCTTTGCTGTGACTACTTTGAATTGTGGAGAAAGAAGGTCGGACCCATCTTCTTTATCTTAATGAATTGCAGCCGAATTTAAAAAAGGTCTTGCAGTCTTTCTCTAGACCAGTGAGATTTCCGGTGAAATCGTGTTTTATGTAGCAACAAGTGGGTAAACTACAAAAGTACAAAACAAACTGTTCACCTTGTGTGCCATTTCCAGGGGTTTTCCGCCTTTGATGAGAATACCATTCTGTGCTGCAACTCCCGTGCCTACCATCACAGCCGTAGGGGTAGCCAAGCCTAAAGAACAGGGGCACGCAATGCTCAGCACAGTGATTGAGGTCTGAAATGCAAACCGCAGTATGACTTCAGCTTTTGAAATGTGTTTGTTCTGATTCTGCAAGAAGAGGGAGGAGAAAAAAAGAAAAAAGACATATGCATGTTTGCTGATAGGAGATAGCACAGGCGTACAATCAATCATAGTCATTTCAAAAAACACATTTACCTGGAAGCCTCCAGGATAGGAAAGCAAAGTATTATTATTACTGTAACAGTAGAGAAAGGTCAATGGTATGAATTGTTTATGGTATTGTTTTCTGGCAGTTTTTGCTGTTCAAGAACACATAATGCTTCAGAAATTCCTCTTGGACACCTTCACCTATTTAAGTAATACACCCCACAGAGCACACATCTAAACAGGGCACAACAGTCTGGTAAGGCTGCAAAAATTGCCTTATGTCCCGGGCACACTGGACACATCAGCTACAGGCCAGTGTTTGAAGAGCAAATCCTGCTCAGAAGGCTACTTGCAGAGGCTGTCCCCTGTGCAGGCAGAGGAAGACCTCCGGGAGACGGAAGAAGCAGAGTTCTGCTCCACAGAGAGGTGCGTGCTCAGTAACTCCAGGAAAGCTGCAGAACGACTGCTCTTGAGTCTCTCTTTCTGTTATGAACACAAACTATTTCTATACAACACCCAGGCACACTCCCCATCCAGGGGGACACAGCAGAATTACCCCTTACACTAAGGGGTGAGACAGAGTGACTCTGCTCTCGGGCTACCAGGTGACGACACAACTTGCTGCCGTTTCCCTTATAGTCTAGTAAAGGTGAACCCTATTTCCCGGTGCACAGTTCCCCTCAGCTGCTGAGCGTAAAGGCACATCCTAAACACAACAGAAGCTAGTCTTCTCCTCTAAAGCCAAACCCACTATCTGCTATCAGGAACAAGGATGTTTAAATATTTTCCAGGCATGAGAGCAATTTCTCAGCTCCCTACAAGCCAGCTATGGATCATATTTAATCCTGATATAATGCCAATAATTTCAGCCTGTAGGAAACTCATGTAGAACTAAGGGGCAAATGGACAGGTATATTTAGACCAGCTGATAGATTCTAATTAGCATAATTATCTGTTCTGTATAGAAAACAACACATTGTACAGAAGTACTTGCCAGGTTTGCAACATTAAACCCCGCACACGGAAGACAGGCTAATTACACTGGGAGATATACTAACAACAAAATCCAACTCTCAGTGAAATTACTTACTGGAAAATATTTCTGAATAATATCGAAATTTATAAAACCAATTGTGATCCATACTATCAATGTCACTGTTGAAATGATGATGATAAATGGAACAAAATATCCACTAAACTTATCTGCCAGTTGCTGGATGGGTGCCTATAAAAAAGAAAAACAGGTATTTGGATGTTTTAATGATCAAAACACATAAATATGCACTGTTCATGAAAATATCTAATAGTCTTTATCTGATCCTTTTTTGAACTGTGGAAAAGCATGTTTTTCCGAACCTTGCAACCATGTCAAAATATAGACTCTTTTCTGATTTAATCAAAATTTGTAAATAAGGTTTTCCTTTTCTCTTTTTATTATTTTTACCTTTGACATTTGAGCTTCTTCCACCAATTTCACAATTTGTGACAGGGTAGTGTCATTCCCAACATGAGTTGCATTAACAAGAACTGAGCCATGTGCATTTATAGAACCAGCAATCACTGTGCTCCCAGGCTTTTTAGTGACTGGCATAGCTTCCCCTGGGAAGAAAAGGTATGAATAAATGAGCCAGACTAGTGCAAATATCTGTGATAACAATTAACACAGTCCATTAATGCACAGTTCTTTGTGTGCTACCAAAATCAGTATTCTAAACAATAAGAAGAAGAAATCATGCATTTTATATCTCTGTCTAGTGAGGACATTTGTAAGTGGTGTCATACTTCTATAAACCCTTTTCCAGGTTTAGTTTCACAGCAAATGCCTTAGCTAAAATGTCTTGGGCTCTTCCTTCTCGTCCCGTCCAAGATCCAGGGCTCCCAGTCTCCAGACGCTTGGTCCCCACCTACAAACCCCAGGGGTGTTTCTTTCCCTCAGACAGAACACAGATGCTGGCACCCTGCTCTGATATGTGATTGTGCTCAACATAGGTGAACAGTCTCCACTCCCAGATTTTCCTAAATTAGTCAGGTGACAGTTTACAAAGCCTTCACCGGAGCCTGGAGACAAACGGGAGGGGAGGTGTTCTTATTAATTGCGCATCTCAGCCAAGAAATGTATCTCAAAAAAACGGTCAAAGGGAGCGGGTTACTGGGAGAGAAGAAAGATACTTCTGGGGCACCCAAGATTCAGGCTAATAAGAGAGCAAGAGAGAAAAATTCAGGATAAAATTTGTCTGAGTATTATGTGCCTAAAAACCATGATTTGGCACCAGCACAGGTTAAAAGTGCAGAACCTGCAGACTGTGAATGGGAAGACACAGTACAGATCCTCAAAATACTCCACTTGGAAGCAGTATAGGAAAAACAGATGGCTCAGCCAGCACTGTGTTCTGTGATCGCACTTAGAAAACAGGTCGGAAACTAGATCTTATGCCTTATGCTTTCCTGCTTTCCTCATGTAGAAATGTTTAGCAATACAAAATCAGCAGATGAAGTCAGTGTGGGCCATAAAATGCACTTCCCAGCTCTTTAATTACTTTGTAAATGAAGGAATTTGGGCAAGGTCTTAGTTGATTAACTAGACAATAATCAGTTTAATATTTAAAAACACAAGGCTGAGCAGTCCTCTGTTAAATGCAGACAGCTGCCTGCAATATCACTACCCTGCTCAGTGCAATAACCACCAGAAACCTCCAAAGCTGGGGGTGGATGGAAACCAGAAGTCTTGTTCCGGAACGTAAGAGCCCTGACCCTTGGGTTAAAAGTAGCCATTCTGCTCTGAACCACCAAGCTACAGCTCGTCCTGGCTTTTTGACAGATCACTAGTGGAGGAAGAAGGCAAACTTTATTGATTCCAACCCTCCTAGCCAAAACGGGTCAGGAACAAATTGATCGTAAAAGGAACTTCTAAGAATTCCTTCAATTCATACATTTGCACAGCCATGGCAGATTGAGCAACTTGTCTCCACTTCCACCTCTTGCAGCTTTCCAAGACTACAAAACTTGTCATTGTGGCAAAACTCCTGTTCTCTCACTGTCTTTTCAAGAACACTAGCTCTACAAAATCTGTATTTTCTCTCTTCGTAGGGTTAGTGAAAACAGCTGGTTCTCTTAATTTTAAGGGTATCTCTGTTCCTCAGCTGAAATAAATACGTAACTAAAACATGCAAGTCAGTGATGATGTTAAGTTTTTAGATCCTTTAACATATTTGTAAGAGTTGCACAAACAAATATACATAAAATAAAGTGAAAATTTCACAAGCTGTGAAAAAGTCCTGTGATGCTTAAAAAGCACCACTTTGTGAGGCTTGCTTTCTCTCTCCTGCCTCACTTGGCAGCCCCTGTCGGAAGCCCCTTCTGGTTCCCATGCACAAACACTTCAACATATCAGCATTATTTCCTCATTGCCCTTCAGAAGTTACTTCTGAAAAGGTATCATTTCTGCAAATAAATTTTAGACGAAACTCCCACCAGATCCCTGGAATAATAACAGAAGTGTTTAGACTTCACCCACCCTGTCAGTATGTTAGTAAAAGGAACCAAATTGGCAGAGATTCCTCAGTTTTTTAGGGTGTACTCAGACACAAACTTGGAGGTTATTCAGATAACAGCTTTTCGTTTGGGTCTTTTTACAGAAGATTCTGCTTTTTTGCCTAAGCGTAAGGAAAGTTACCCGTAATAAGAGACTCATCTGCCATAGAATTGCCTTCAATGACTTTTCCATCCACTGGGAACTTTCCACCAGGAACAACCTTTACGATATCACCTCGTTGAACTAATTCAACAGCTACCTGCTCTTCCCTGTAAAAGACACAAGTAGAACAGACAGATCATTTATGCCATCAGCTTCAAAAGCATAATAACGCTTTAACATTAAATGCATCAAGCCTAGCCAGTGCATCCAGGCAGGCTGAAGGGTTCTGATGAATAAATATGTACCTGACGATAGAGTGGTCAGGTCCAAGAGTCACCACAGTTGCTTCTGTGGCTTGAAGAGATATCAGCTTAGCAAGAGCTTCTGAGGTCTTACTCTAAGAAACATGGACAAATGCTTGAGATATATTGAGCTACATAAATGCTGATGTTCTAGTTAAAACAATGATCCGTGAGCTCTGAATGACCAAAATGGCTACTACTTCCATCAGAAACGTTTGACTAAAAATTCACCTAAATAGCTTCACTCTGTTCTTGTTGGAAATACACAGTATTTAGTGTGTAGATGAGTTACCTTTGCTATGTGTTCCAGCCATCTCCCAAGGGCAATGAATACAAACAGCATTGGAGGTGTGTCAAAGAAAGTGATAGGGCTTTTCTCCGCCTTTTCAGCTATCGCTACCATCAGGATCACACATGAATACACATAAGCAATAGTCGTGGCCAGTACAATCAGCACATCCATATTGGCTGTCCTGTGCTTCAGTGATTTGTAAGCTTGTACGTAGAAGTACCATCCACCAAGAAACTGTTGATGTAAGCACATACAGACTCTCATTAAAATCACAGCAGAGGAAAGCAGGGAGTACATCATACTACCTATAGCAGAATTATAAACATGTTATAGATAAGGGAAGGGATTCTTATCCCGTGCTGGTTTTATATTGATATAACTTTAGTGGAGCTGTCCACTAGGAGACTGATTGCATTGTCATCCTTGCATTCACCATTCCTTGTTCTCAAAAGAACTCTGCAAGCTAAATATTGTCACCTTTTTCTCATGCAATGGGGAAAAAAAGAATAGAAATTTAAGAGATTTACCTACAGTTACCCAGGCGGTTTGCAGCTGATCAGTTTTTTTAATTGTTCTAACCTTATGTTCCCATTTGGAAAAGTCACTGACACAACTTTGGCACAAGTGAGTATTGTGAGAAATTACCTAATCAATAATTTATAGGCAAGTGCCACTTCATTCTGCGTAGGTTGTACAGACATGAGGCCAGGCATAACCCACTAAAGCTTTCTAGTTGCCTAACTCTTTCCACATCAGATTAAATAAACAGGAGATGAAAAGAAAGCAAATACCTAAGAAATGGTGCGGACATACCTGAACAAAAGTGCACAGGACAAAGAAGAGAAGATTTAAAACAGATAATCCAGGAATGAGATTCTGTTCCAGCACCATAGATCCGTGGTGCTCGCCATCAGGTATTAGCATATAAATCATTAGGATTAAGACAGGGATACCAAACACTAGGCTGCACAAGAAAGATTTCCTCCACCTGAAAAGTAGAACCTGTAAATCACCAGCAGTAATACACCCTAGTAGTACACCGGCCAAACACTGTGCTCACAGTACAGAGTTAGAGGTATTAGTACTGTACTAACACAGAGCTTGGGATATTTCACTACTTCACTCCAGGACAATTGCACTGCCCCCTACATGCTTAAATGCCATAGACCTCTATCTAAAGTAAAATTAATGACAATGGACATAAAAGTACTTGCACCAAACAGCAAATCACAATCTTCAATATGCTTTACATAAGTTAAATTAACTAGGGAAAGTGAGGGGGGTGAGTGACAAGAGATAATCTATATGATATCATTAGTGAGAGAGAGAAAGAGAAATACTTACTGCTGAATTTCCTTTTTATGATCCAAGTTATGTGCATTAGGTACTCTTCTAGCCAAGGAAGCATGAAAGCCAATTTCCTTTTTATTAGAAAAGGGGCAAAGGGGAGAAGAGTTAGTTTTTATTAAACTAACAGTATTACTTATCACATACTTAAATGACACTACTTTTAGAAGAAATTAACAGAAATGTCAGAAAAGGACACCCTTCCATATTTAATAAATGCCAACTTCTTATTTATTTTTAGATTCTGCCAACATGAGAGGATGTTCCAGACAGTATTGATAACAATGGAACAAAACTCAAAACGTGGACTGGAAAGGATTTCTGCTGTCTCTTCATGGACACAATCACAATACAGCAAACGTCCTGTTTTTTTTTTAAAGCATAGACAGCTCACACTGACAGCTGGAATCCTGCTGTTCTCCTTCCCAAGGGAATTTTACGCCCTTTGATCTCCACTGAAATAAGTACAACAGAAGGGACATACCATAAAGGAAGGTATAAATGTATACAAGCCCCTGGTCTAGTCAACCTTTCTAGCACGTCCTTAACACTGCAGCAGAGTAAACACACCTGAAGTTGAATATCAAAATGGTCGGACCTAGTTTAAACTTAGAGAACAATACACTGCAGGCAAAGTAGCCTGTTTTGGGCACAGCGAATTTTAACTGAGACTTCAGAGTTACTGCAGAAAAAGAAACAGAAGAACCCACTCTTGCAAGTATAACACATTTAAACCTCATAGCTGCATTAAGAGACACTTCTGTGGCAAGACGCACTTTACGGAACTACTCTGTTGGGCTGAACAGTCTAATATTTACATATTTACATGTTAATCACTACTGCTGCATCAGTGCTGGGTGCGTTTTCTGAGAAAATATTATAGGCCATGAAAGGAACAGTCTCTGCAGTTCCCCTGACGATTCTCTGTGCATGCCTCATATGATGAGTTTCTTTGCTTCTGGTCAGGGAGGGAACAAAAAATGTTGTTAAAACGTGGGCCCTGACAATCTCCCAGTAGTATTTATGATCCACATCGTTACTGGTAAGCTGGGATTTTTTCTTTAGGAGCTGTATCACAAGTTGTTTTGCTTCAAACAGTTCTCCTCTGAATTGACATGGGAATAAACGTCAGTGCACACAAAGATGTGTATTACTTGTGGTGCTAACTGGATTTAGTTCCCTGCTATTGCCAAACTTCTTTTACAGTCTCTTTAATGGCAGGAGAAAGCAGTATTTTTTCCGAAACGTGAACACTTCACTGAAACGACTGGAATTCAGGGAGACATGATTCTACACACAGAACAGCCAGAATGGGGACATGACACTTTTCCCAGATATAGGTAAGAAAGGAGGGTTTCGTTGCTGTTTTTCAGGTGTGCTTTTAGGGTAACAACCCAGGAGGTTACACACTTCTGTGAGGCAGGGCAGCTTCACCACACAGGCAAGAACATGAAAGCATATAGCAATAACCATACATGACCTGCAACAGTCAGTAAAACCTCTCAAATACCAGCTGCTTCATTTTCTTAGTAACTTCACCTTATAAATGTTCTTATAAAAAAAGTTCTAAAACCTACCTCAATTATTTTTATAATATCTCGAGGTCCAGTAATTTCAGGATCAAACTGGATGTGAGCTTTGCAAGTAGCAAGGGCAACCGAGGCATAAAATATGCCATTAGTTCTCATAAGTCTGGATTCAATGTTGTGAACGCAAGAAGCACAAGTCATCCCCGTAATCTAAACAGAACATGATTTGATGTATGGTTAGCAGTCTCTGGAATCGGCAGCAGCCTCTTTTCACCATTAATGTTGAAAAAGAACCAGTACACTTGTCATTTTGGGTTTTGCTTTGTTTTTTTTTCTCTCCAGCAACGCTACTGCTTGCTCACACTAGGAAGTCTTACTGAAGGGTAAAAGAACTTGAACACAGAGATGCAGGTTTCAGTGTTCAAGGATGTTTATTGCTGTTTTCAATGAACTCAATATTCACCCAATAGTTATGGATGAATTTGAGGCAAAGCCTCCTCTTGTTACCAGGTTATAAACATGTTAATGACTGCTCAAGCTCTGCTGGTACTGACCCAAGGCCTCAGCATGAAGAGTTCGTAGGGCTGTCTTAAATGAAACAAAGCTGAGAACATAATGACCCACTTTTATTTTAAAATTCTGCCACCAGCAGTCATATTCACAGCCACATATTTATGTAGCAGCACTGGTAATATAGTATTAAATGTAATAGTATAGCTAACAGTCATATCAGCAACTATATTAACATTGCCTAAATCAAACTCTACATGAGTAACTTCATCTTGCCAACCTGAATTTCTTGTGGCTTCAAAAAGGCACGTTCCCACTTTCTGGTCTAACTACCGGCATAATCGCAGACTGTTGCTATGTGTCTGCGTAGTAGACATATTTGAGAAAATAAAACCGGACTTCTGAAGAATCTGTCCATAGGATGAACAATTCACTAACTGCACCCAAGGATCTCAGACCTCTATACAAAGCACTGGGCATTAGCATCATGTACTTGATGATAAATTCTCAGGTGCTCAGAGTCTGTACCGTTGACCAAAGTGCCTTCGCAGGACAGTACTGTTTTATTTTTCCTTACTAGAAAAAGTCAATTCTATACATACATCTACCAACTTTTATTTCAGCACCTTTAGACACGTTCCTCTAAGACAAATTGATTTCATCTTTACAGTAACTAAGAAATATCTATGCTACCTGCTGGAACTGAACTGCTGAAGCCACAACTCCTTAAATGAAAACATTTGCAAGAAAAAGCTTCTTCCAAACCTGACATCTCCAAATCCAACATATAATTTCAAATACACATTACTTACAAGAAGCTCCACACTTCCTTCTGTTTCAGTATGATCTTCTATGACAGTAGCTTCGAAACCCAAATTCTGAATCAGCTGTGCTATTTCAAGAGGCTGTATGAACTCTGGCTTGTATTTTATCTCTGCTTTACCTGCCATCAGTGCTACCAGCACTGAAACAATACCTGCAGTGGCAACAATCAAAAATGTTAGATATGGTAGCTCCTTTGGGAAAAGCAAAACAAAACAAAACACCATTACAAGTGAATGTCAAGGTAGGCCGTAGCAACATAAAGATGTTTTATGCTTAGTAATCTCGCTCTGTCTCCTTCTAGTGTTGCTTCCTGGGTACAACAGCAAAGTTGTTACTGGGATCTAGCCCTTCTGAAGTTCCCTTTAGCAATGAGAGGAACTGCAAAAGTCAGAGAGGGAAGGAGGCAAGTCTTGCTAAGGTCTAACAAACTAAAAAAGAAGTTCATAAGCAATCTTTGCACTGATTTCTATAAGCTCTACCCTGGACGCTTTAAATGTGGAAAGCCCTAAACAAGCCCCAGAACATAAAGCTAGGCCCTTTCTTTTCTTTTTTCTCTCTTCTCTTCTCTTCGCTTCGATCTCTCCTCTTTCCTCTTTTCTTTCTTCTTTTTTCTTTTCCTTTCCCTCCCTTCCCTTTCCTTCCCTTTCCTTCCCTTCCCTTTCCTTCCCTTCCCTTCCCTTCTTTTCCCTTCCCTTCCCTTCCCTTCCCTTCCCTTCTCTACAGCAACACATAAATCTAAATTTAGAACCTAAAAGCAAAGCGTAAAATCACAGGCAACAAAATCATTCCAGAAGTGCTAATAGTTTCTCGGAGTTTTATCCCCTTCATGAGGAGGTAGGGGAGACAGGAATGAATAAGCAAACCCCTTGGTAATGCAAGGTGATGCAGGCAGCTCTGAGGCTCTTCTCTTTATGAACTCTAAGGCCAGAGGAAAGCCAGTTCCAGTCTGCAGACCTCTAGCCTAATAAGCAATGCTGTGTCTGAGCTAATATAATTACCCAGGTACCGGGGCCACGCATTTTACTTGCACCTCCTTGTGCAAACGTGCCCTGAAAGGTAGGTTTCACATCACAAATGTGTCAAAGCTCTTAATAGCTCTGGAGAGGATGGATTGCTGTGTAAAGCAACAAGGCCCCGCAAACTAAATGAGAATAATCCTTCCACTCTTGCCTTGAGCCTTATTTGGATTCTGACCATATTGCAATAACTTAATGTTATGAAAAAAGTATGTCCATCAGGTATGCCCATCAACTTTTCTGCTCACTCACAGAATAAATGCTGTAGGATAGTCAGATAAGGATGTTGTTACATTAGCACTGAGAATATTTAGTCTATTTAACCTCAAGATGTTCTAACATATCCACTTCCATGAACCACACAGAATGCCTTTTCTGCCTGGTAGTCCCTTACAGACTCATTACCGGAATGTTAAAGTTATTACCGTCTTCTTTCTGCAGATTTCTTTCAATAGTAGACACACATGATGCACAGGTCATGCCTGTGATTTGTAAAAAACACTTTTCGGCTGTCATTCCACTGGGCTGGTTTGGCATATCTGGGCCAGGACTCTCTGGAACAGCATCTGCACTGCAGCCTTGGTAAGGAGATTTTGGAGCTTGAGGCTGCACCATGGCGCTGCTGGCATCAGATCGATGCACATTTTCTCCAGTAATGGTATCTTGAATAAACACACAATGAACAGGACAAACACTATCTACAGTGCTATAGGATGATGCAGAACAATAAGCAGGGCATGTATTTATTGATCACGCAAAGTCTTTTAGATGTTTGAAAGGCAACATGTTAATCTTGGACTCTTCTTAGAAATGATATAGACCATTACCATGCCTACAACAATATACCCATACCAGTAATCCTGCACCACCATTTAACTCTAACTCTACAGAACTGTTTTTCCAGTGTCAAATGGCAAACGATTCCCTCCAATTTCAGTACAGAAGGTTTGTGCAAAGGGGCAAGAGTTGCTTTTGAGCATTTTAAATACAAGGTTCCCTTCCTTTTCCACAGCTCTCCCCCGACTAGATCACAAAACAAATAAATCATAATTAAATACCAGTATATGCACTCCTCCTCTTTCATAGCCGTCCCTACAGATTCAGAGGGATTGGTCCCAGGAGTAAAGCTAACAGCATTCGGTCTCCTGTGATTGAACTAATTCATTCCAGGTAAACCACATCAGTATCTCAAAGCAAATCTGTTCTGAGTGGAAGCAGATAAATACTCCTGCTTTTGAAATTTGCTAGAGAGGAGATTATGCACCATAGCAACTACTTAACCATTAGGCACAGGTACAAAAGTACAAACTGTGCTGCAGTTGACATGTAAAAGCAATATCTTCTCTCACCAAAGAGAAAGGGCATGTTGCCATTTATCTTGCTGAAAGTAAGACTTAAGTCCCTGGTAAAAATACTTGAGAAATAAAGGTGAAAGATTAGGACACTAGAAAGAAATTTCAGATAGAAAAGAAGTGGTTTTAAACGAAACGTATTTCATTAAGTTTGTATCTTTTAGGACTTTAGAATATAAATTAAAATATTTGGTTTGACAGATCTACTTTGGCAGCTTGTAGATATAGGAGGAAACCTACTTCAGTGGGTAAGGGGATCTGCTATTTAAAAGACATCGTACGAACTTCCAAACTTTTTAGCTTCATAATGTAAGTCAACTCTTCCGCCCACTAGTGCAGTTATTAGGGGCTGAACTAAAGCACTTCACAGCTGAAAGCGCTCTCCCTTGCTAGGTGAGATCAGACCAGCCCCTTAAAAAAGATAATACCAATGCAATGTTTTAAAACTCTCTGTCAAGTAGAGAGTCTCACGGCCCAGCTTGCAATGCTATTCACGGAAGAAAAAGCACTGTTACCTGTGAGAACTGACGCGTCAAACCCCATGTCTTCTATGGCAGCTCTTAATTCTTCTCCATTAGTTACAGTTGAATCATAACATATGGTGCCAGTCTTTTCAGCTAGAGAAACTGCTATATGTTGCACTCCTTTTCTCTGTGATATCATCCCTTCTATGGACTGCACGCAAGAATTGCAGGTCATTCCGTCAATCCTAATAACAGCTGTGCATGTTGTATCTGTTAGCTGCTCTCTGAAGAGATCACAGAGCAAAGCAGGTGACAAAGATGCTCTGCTATTTGCTTCTGAACTGCTAAGGAGGCATACTTTAAAGTTTCCAGGTGGAAGAGACTCAATAGCTTGCTGCAAAGATGACAGGGTAATTAAATTGGGGCTATACTGTACTACAGCACGCTTTTGCTCCAAAGACACCTTAATGCTTTGTACGCCTGGGAGAGCCGCTATATTTCCTTCGATATTTCTGACGCAAGACTTGCAGTGCATGCCTTCTATTTGTACTGTAGCTGTGCTGCTCATCTGGACAGCCAGTGGGACCACCCCACCGCTGTCTTGACACGCTGCGGTTGTCTGGGTGGTTGTATTCTGCAGGCGTCCTACATCAAGCATATCAAGCTTCAAAGGGGCTGATTTACTCTTAATGGTGCAGTCATATCCCAGGTTACTGATATGGCTCTTGAGGTCTTTGGGCTGAATGATGTAAGGATAGTAAGCAATAATTGCTTCCTGGTTACCAAGTGACACCTTGATTCTTACCACACCGTTCAGTTTCCTCATGTTCCCCTCGATGCTGCTGACACAGGACTGGCATGTCATGCCTTCTATCCGAAGCTTAATTACTGCCTCTCTTGAGCACGGCACACTTAAGGACGACGGTGTTGATCTCTCTTCTGCTATGTTCGCATCAAAGCCCATATCCTGAATTTCCTGGCAAATCTGTTCAGGACTTACTTCTGACTCTACATACTTGATTACCGCACTGTTCTGCTCGAGGGAGACTTTAATGCTCACAACACCTTTCACCTTGGAAATTTGACCTTCTATTGACTGCACACAAGACTGGCAAGTCATGCCCAGAACATTGATTGCAACAGTGTGGGTTTGGGAAGATGAAGAGGGCACCGTTTCAAAGCTCTCCTCGTAGCCCATGTTGTCAAAAGCAAAACTCTGTTTCATTGTGGGTTCCCACGCACAGCTGGAAGGAGAATCAGTCTTCGACAGAGCCTAAAGAGGAAAGGGAAAAATAAAAATAAAATGCATGTATCTTCACCTCTGCAAAAGCAGCATGCCTAGAAGTGCAGTGCATTCCACTGGAACACATCACAAAGTTAATTTACATGCTGAAAATATTACCAGTTAGCTATGTACACAATTATGAATCAGACCCCTTAAACTTCTCTTGGGCAGCAATTCTAAAGATATTCAAGCAGGGATATAAAAGCAAAGTTGTCTGAACATTCCCAATCCAGTCATTTAAAATTTGAACTCTCCGCGGCCACAGAGCACATTCGTTATGCAACCTAAGCTCTGCTCTTCAGAGCACATGGTCACCTGCCCAAAGGTTCACAGGTGAAAGTAGTCTAAACTACTTTCAACAGACGTCCGGAGCCAGTTCGCTTTGGCCAAGCCACTGTTGCTCACCAGGAGTTAAGAAAGAAAGAAAGAAAAGAAAACAGGTTCAACAATTACCCAAGAGTCTGAATCAGTAGGTGCAATAATATCTGAAGAGCTGTATGTATGCACACAAGTGTCTGCGTTGTCTGCATACCTATGGATCTTCTAATTTAAAATCTATATCTGACACATACTAAGAAAAAACTTGTATCATAGGTGGATATTTTCACTACAGTTTAGTTTCTTCTGCCTCTTTGCAAGGCACCTAATAAAGGGCACAAATTGAGCTACAGAACTCACTGGTTTGATTCAATAGCAGTTTTCAGGACACACAGCCAGTGTTGAAGTAGGTCAGCCAGAAGCGGACTATCCATCAGTCAGATCACAGACTCCACAGTACTTCTACAGTTTGGTGTAGTTCGGTTCAATTGAATATGAGATAACATTAATATGAATATGAAATAACAAAAAAGCAGAGCATAGATCCTGTCATCAAAGTTAACTGCTGACACCAAGAGTTTCGGAAGATTTAAAAGGGGAGGGACAGCTTCAAGACTGTTAGTTTTTGCAGACGGAACATTAAAATTCACGTTCGGGATCTAAGGTGACCTTAACTCCTAAAAACAAAGATGAAAGCTACTATGAAGAATCTATGATCTTGTATCTGCCGAGGCCGCGGAACCGCCACTATTTGACATATTGTGCCCAAGGCTGGGCCACAGATGGGATCACCGCATTGCACTTAGTACCGCAAATCTCACGTTCCTACTACAGGCAAGAAAACTCCCTCCCTAATACCACGGTGCAGATTAGGACCATTTAGGCCTCTTATTAACACTAGACTGCATCCCGCTCATTTGATGTAGTATTCAAAATTCATTAACCTGATTTCGTTTCATGCTCCGACAGCTTGGGAATAATGATGGCTGGGTCACAACCAGAACGACAGAAATTTAACACGAGAAACTCGCTCTCATTAGTCTTCTCTGTACCCTATTTGTTTGAACAGAAGGAGCATGTTCCCGTCTGCTGTGTGAAAACGTTAAGCGCTGGCGAACAAGGAGAAGCCACCATTTCCCTCGCAGGGAGGGGGGCTCGCCTTCAGGTGAAGGCAGAAGAGGGCTGCTGATCTGTCAGGCACCTGCTGTGCTTCCTGGAGCCTTTGGGAGCACGCAGAGGCTGCTAAATAAAACTCAAAGTGACTGAGGCCTCCAGGTTGATTCCTGTTGACGCCGCCAAGGCGTGGAGCAGCCTGCTGCGAGCCCCTGCGCCCTGTAAGCGGAGCAACGCGGTGCGCTGGCTCCCAGCGGCAACGTGCCTGTCACCGCCGAGGCACCGACATGCGGCACCCGAGGGGCAAAACCTGGTCGTGCTGGAGCCACGCTGCCCCGTGGAGAAGGTGAGGGAGGCCCACAAAGCCTTGGCGCTGCCGGTGACAGGCCATGCGTGGGGCTGCAGGTGGCACAGCCCACAGAAGAGGCGTCTGCTCTGGGGGGCTCCACGCCAGGTGGACCATGGCCGGTGCCACCACGCTGCGGGGTTGCTGTAGGCTGGGGGTGCATCTTCCAATGACCTCATGGTTGACAAGTTCAGACAAAGGAGAAGTGGCATCGCTATAGCTTTGCTCTACTTTTACCTTTGTTATAACCTCTTATCTCTAATGAAGTCTCACCCTCGACAAACGATGCTCTCGCGAGTTCAGTGCAACTAAACCCAGACTCCCCAAAGAATCCTGGAGCCCCGGGATTATTTCACCCCGTTTCCCACCCGGTCCTGCACACCGGGGTGCAGGCCCCCTCCTTGCGCTCTCCTTCCCTGCCTCGCATTTCTGAAGCTGTCTTAAGTCTTGCCACAACATCAATGGAAATATGTAGCCAGCCCTCTCTTCCAAAATAAAATATAAGCAGTTAACTGGACCTCCCTGCAAAGGTGGTTCTTCATTTACATGCGCACAGAAACAACTGCAAGCTTATTTCTTCCCATTTGTGCCCTGTCCCCCACGGTTTAACATATTAATAAGGCCTAGTATATGGAAAAGAAGCCCACAGAGAATGAAAACAGTCTCTCCTACACCATATTTCAAACCTGCTTAAACTCAAACACGCATTTATTTTAATGTCTACCTTAAGAAGCAACATTGAAATACTGTCCCTCGTCTTCCCCCTGCCCCGCAAAAGACACTTTGCTCCTAGTGGCCAGCTCTTACCACCACGAACACCCGGTAAAGCCAGAATCCCAACACGTGTTACGGGAGCCCACTCTGTCCTTTTACTTTTGTTTCTGTGACAATGGCATTTGTGAGAAGGGCCAAATAACATCGTCCTGCTCCCTCCTCTAGCTCATGACATTTCGGGGAGCAGCTCACAGGTGAAAAATAGGAAACACCACAGACCTTATGTCCTTTACTCCGTCCTCACTCACTAACCATTTCAGTTTTCCTCTCTGCTTTGACTAGACACCCCATGACATAAAAGTAATTCAAATTAAATTTATAAAAAGATTAAAAGATATTTCCTTGTATCCAGTCTTTCAACAAACAAAAAAGCAAGTACTGATTCTGCTATTTTAATGCACTGTTAACCACAGAGACATCAAAACTTGGCCATCGCTTTATATTTTGGATAAAAAGCCATGCTAACATTCAGACAAATTGGTAAAAAATATGTTTTTTGCTATTTGACAAAAACGGCTGTTTATGATTTAAGAGAAAAATCCTTGAATGCAAATTTTTTAAATGATAAGAAGAAAAATACGCAGGGGAAGTGGAGATAAAAAAAGAAAAAGAAAACAAGTGCCAAATCATTCAAGAATCTCCCAAGAAGTCCCCAAAAGCCAGAAAATTTTCACAGGTTAAAAGTTTATAAGTTTGGGAGGGAAAATCTTTTTTTTTTTCCTGAAAATACCTTGGTTTAAAAATTCGATTTAGAGTATTTGCAAAGCCTTTACTGTTGTTTAACACTTCCAAAAAAAAGATCTCAGGAGAACGGGCACAAATATACGTGTGTATAGGGGAGTGTGAAGGGAGGTTTCTACACTAGGTCAGAGGAAACCAGTAGGTAAACGTAACGACGTAAACGCGAGGCATGTGGAAATATGCCTGTAGTTTTCCTCAAGTACATACTAGGTCTCAAAAGGGGTTCTTGACACCAGCTGAGACATACATATATAATGGCATCTATGTGGCTGCACAGTAATTCAGAGAGACCATCTGCAAGAGGATCAGAGACGTTCTCATCTCAAAGAGGCCAAAAAGGCATTTGGGAGACCTAGGTAATGTCACTGGTGTCCGAGGCCTGCTCTATAGGTGACCAGCAAGAAGAGAGCCAGCACCCAGTTAATCCAGGAGTTGCGCAACGTAGTGCTACGCAGGCATTAACCCTCCTGCTTATTTCTGAATAGAGAAATTCTAACGAAGTAACACAAATGCATCTGTCTGTACCATGGTATTGGTGTTTTTGTGCTTTCCAGTTACAGTTACCGACTATTTTTTTAACCACACTAAAGGAGGTCTGCCTACTTCTAAGGGGAAGCATACACAACATCTGCTTGCTCTACAAGTTTTATGTGCATTTTTACAGTGACTATGCAAAAACTATGTAAATTATGAAAACATGAAATTATGACAATTACTTCCCTGCTCTCCTGCACATACAAGTTGCAACTCAGCATGTAAAACAGCCTGAGAATCTCGTTTGTCTGCTTCAGACTAAGACTCTAGCTTGAAAACTAAGAATCCCTATGAAAAGCAGGGTTATGAAGAACATTTAACCAATAGCCCTTAAACAGAAAAATTAGAAAAAAATTAAAAAGGGATCCCTTGAGACAGAGGCAGTAACAGCTGGAGGCAGCTGTAGAGGAAGCACCAAAACCAAACGGGAAACATTCCTGCCCATAGGAGACAGCCCTGAACTCGGCCCAAGAAGAGGAGCAACTGTGGCTGTTTATAATGAATGAGCTTGACGTCTGAAGCCCAACTCCCTAAAGCATCTCAGAATAAAATCATCAGTATTAAGAGAAATGCTTGCTGTCTCAAAGATGAACGTAAGCCTCTGCGTCTGCCTGGGGCGAGCTAGGACGCCCAGGCCATGGGAGCAGGCGAGGGCTCCTATTACCTGCCCTGGCTGCCGCAGGTCTGCAGGAAGGAGATCATACAACAGGAGCGTGCTTCAGGGCTAGACTAACTTTTGGGAAGAGTGCGGAGGTTGGAGCAGGGCAGGGAAACGCTAAAGGACTGCGAATACCAAGTTTCAAGACCCGTCTTGATATGCACCTCTTGGTGCTAGGGAGGCCAGAGCTGTGCTGGGCAGAGGGACTGAGCACCGCGTCCCCTCCTCACTCCCATGGGCCGAGCTGCCTCTAAGGCAGCAGAGCCGAAGCAACCACCACTCCCTTGCGGAGGGAGAAGCCTGGAGGAGCCCCTCAGCTAGGTGCCTGCTCTCCCCAGCTTCATGTCCCTGCCATCAACCACCCTGCATGGGTCCCCCACATCGGTGCCCCAGAAAGGCTCGCCCTCTCCAAGGGCTGGGAAAAGCAAAGTACTGCACCCTATCCCATCTCCACCAAACCAACAACCGCCTCCCTATTTCCTCCACACTGCTCCTGCTCCTCGT